TGTCCTGCAATTCTTTAATCTCGGCTTCTGCGCCTTCGGTCTCGGCATAGAGCTTCGACATCTCCTTATTCAGCTTGGCGATCTCCTTTTGCAGAACAGCCACTCTGGTATCGTCGGACTGCGAGGGTTGATGCTCCTTGCTTAACTCCTTGACGCGTCGCTGAGCATCCGCGAGATTCTTTTCGGCGCTTTGCACCTCTAGGCCGATCTTTTGCATCTTGGTGTCCAGCTGAGGGATCTGCTCTTTCAGGTATCTGAGACGGGTCTCCAGTTCTCGCTGGTGGTCCTGGAATTCTTGGAACCTTTGCTCAATAGAGTCACGATCGCTTTCGTACTTGGCCACTTGCTCCTGAGTCGTTTCGGCCACGAGCTTGCTAGACATCAAGCCCCGTTTTACGGTGTTGCCACCTCCAGACATGGTACCGCTCTTGTCGATGAGCTCTCCATCGAGTGTCACTACTCGCCATCTCTTAGCGCCGTACGCGATCCGGTTCGCCTGAGCTAGATCCTTTGCGACCAGGGTGTCCTGCAGGGAGTGATAGAAGGCAGGCCGGAATTTGTCTTCTTTAGCCTTGATCAGGTCGAATAGTCGCGGCGCATTCTCGGGGGTCTGGATGGGTTGTAAGTCGCGCACGCGCAACTTATCCAGACATATGAAGTTGCCCCGTCCGAGGTTGGTTTTCCGAAGGTATTCAATGCACTGCTGGCCTGCTTCTACCGTGTCGGTGACAAAGTTGTCGAGAGAAGGACAGGCTGTGGAAATAGCAACATCGTATTTCTCATCGATCATACCAAGATTACCGAGACGGCCGTGGAAGCCATCGATCCGACCAGACTCTTTCATTCGCATCAGGGCAGTAAGCACGTTGCCTCGATTTTGAGTCTGAGAAAGGCTGGATCTCGCTTCTTCCGCCTTCTGTCTAGCATTCGATACTTTGGACCGGACGTTAGGTTCCATCTGGGCTAAGCTGTCGAGGTCGGTCTCGGTCTTCTTGGCTTCCTTTTCCAACTTCACCTTCTCGGCCTGGGACTCCTTTAATTCGGCAAGTTTTTCGGTGCGACCTTGCTCGATGTTGGCGATCTTGGTTTGCATCTCCTCGAGGGCGACTGCGCCGGCATTGGCCTTCTCTTCAAGAATGGTCAGCTCGGATTCGGCGACGGCGATGGCAGACTGCTTCTGGTTGATCTTGTCCTTCCAGGGCTCGAGAGACTTCTGCTTGACGGCGATCTGATCCGAGAATACCTGCGTCTTCCCCTTCAAGCTATCTCTGATTGTCGCCAGCTCCGATTCCTCGTCTCTCATACGCTGTTCAAGAGTCACGATCTCCTCGGCACGCGAAGTGATCTCCTCGGTGCATTGTTCAACAGTTTCCTCTGCCTCAGTTGTGGATTTTTCGGCGTTAGCAATCGTCTTTTCCAGCTTCTTTTGTTTGTCGGCCAAGAATTTTCTCTTCTCGTCAAACTTGACCCTTTCTTGCTCGAACTTGGCCGCCTCCTTGACGAGGCCTTGAACATTCTTTTCCTGGGACTCGAAATCTTTAGAACCCTTGGCGTAGGTCTTCTGTAGTTGTTTGATGACCTGTTCGCTGCCCTGGTGCTTTTCGAGCTCGGCGTCGAGTTGAGCCTGCATCTGACTGGTGGCCTCTTCTGTGACGTTTACGTTGTTGTTGCACTCGCTGATGTAGAGCTGGTAAAGTGCCGACTGCTTCAGGGTCAGGTCGTTTTCGTCTCGGATGTAGGCTAGGGCCTTGTTTTTCTTGTCTTCGAGGCTGTTCTTCTCCTTTTCTACGTGCTGAACACGGCCGCTCTTCTCCATGCAGACCTCGTTGAGGGTCTCGACTTCGGTAGCCGACTCTTCGATAGGCGTCTTATATTTGGAGGTACCGATGATATCTTCGAGATACTCTAAGAGACCATCTTCGTGTTCGTTGGCGGCCTTCGGCTTCATCTGAGCGATGGACTCGACTTCGCCCTGCAAGATGAGGAAACGCTTGTGGTCCAGATCGATGCCTCGGTCGCGGAGGAGGGCGGTGACGGTGGTGAAGTTGGATTCGCCGCCGTTGATGTAGTATTTACTCGCGTTGTTCTTGAAGGCCTTTCTGGAGATGACGATCTGGGAGTTGGGGATGACTTCTGCTCCACCGCCCGGCTAGAAATGCGGTCAGTTATATGTATATATAGATAGGAGAGGGTATACTAACCAAGTCCATGACTTCCTGAAAATGAACAGCCACCTCGCAGTGATCGAGATTCGGGTGAGCAGCCGAGTTATGAATCAAGGCAGAGATCTTTCCCTGTCGCATCTTACTGGCCCTGAATCCGAAGACGAAGAGGAGCGAATCGATAACATTAGATTTTCCAGAACCGTTAGGCCCTACTACGGAGGAAAAGGAGGCGTGGAATGGGCCGACCTCTTGTCGACCGGCGTAGCTCTTGAAATTGTTCAAGATCAAATAAGTAATAACGATACGAGGCTTGGGGCCCGTATCTTCTTGAACGGTTGGCATAGCCATCTTGCGCGACTTTAGGACAATATCCATAGGTCTCTCCAGGATGGTATCCATGGGTTTGATGGGCTTAACTTGAGTGATCGTTTCATCGGGGGACTGCTGCCGTTGCTCGTTGACACTCTGGTTGGTGATATCAGCCAAAGGCGTGCCGTGGAGCTCGGATGGTTCCTCGGAATGGGCAGGGGTTGGCATAGGAGGCTGACTTTCGGGTGTAGCGGTTGACTCCCTGCTGACCTTGCGCGGTGCGACGCTCTTTCGCTTCTTGGGCGAGGCTTTCTTGGTAGAGGATTCTGGGCCGATGGCGGTGACGGCGGACTGATCTGGGTCTAGCATCTCACTTTCCTCCATGGATGGTTCCAGGGCGACACTAGCAACACTCTTCCTGGAACGGTTTGGGCGTGGTGTCGCAGTAGGGGTGGCGGGGGCGGTAGATTTCCTTCTGGTCTGGGTTTGGCGTCGCGAAGACCTGGTGGTTGAGGTTTCGGGAGCGAACTCATCTTCGCTATCTTCTTCTTTTATCTTCTGGGTGGTTTCCGCTACGGCATCGTCGGAATCGTCGGAATCGACGATAGCTGCGCGACGAGCTGCTGCGGCGCGACGGGTTGGTCGTGTAGACATGGCTGGAAACTGGAAATGATTGGGCACCTAATCTTTTCTTTTCTTTCTATCCTTCCTCTCTTTTCAAGTCAAAGTCATACAAAGTACACTTATATCTTTTTCCCTTTAGTTGATCGTCGGTGAATGATGAATTGGAATAAATTGCTTAAGGTTTTACCCAACTGGGAAAAGTAAACATAAACAATCCTAGTGCCCACCACCACCTGGCACCTGGCACCTGCCCCCTCCTCATTCCCCCACCAATCTAACCTTGATAAACGCGTTGCACAAGTACCCACAGAGAGGATTCCATCTATCCGAAGAATTACCGGCTTACCCACCTAACTTTATTGCGTACATGTAGCTCGAAGCTAGGGGTAGCTACGAGATCCATCAAACTACAAACTAATACTTTATTTTATATCTTTGTATGTATGATACATTCCTCTTCCTCTTCTCACTTCTACCGTACCTAATCTCTGCTTCTTCCTCCTCTCCAAAAGATACCCGATTGTCGCAAGTACATTGCGACATCATATTTAAAAATCAAGATGCGTCTCGAACACGCCCAATTCGATCGCATATTCGGCTCCTTGGATCCTTTTCCCTACAATCGCAGCTTCATCCAACAGATCGAAGCCGCCCGCCGAAGTCTCGACGGTTCTCTATTCATCGACCGAGTCTTGAAGGCTCTGAACCTCTCCAAGGCCGCCAGCCACTATCCCCCCAAGAACGAAGCTGCCCTGCGACAGCTTCACCAACATATATGCGAGAGCAAGAATGCTACTGTCCACCACAAGGCTTCCGTAGTCTTCTACCTCCTCCTCGACCTCGATCATCGAAACGGCGTCAACTGCGCCGAGCCTTTTGCCAACCAAGCCAACGTGCCCGACAAGTACAAGATCTTCATGCAGGGCTTATGGTATATGGACTCCCAAAAGTTCGACGTCGCCTTGCAGTACCTCACACATCCTTCGCTCCAACCCGATTTCGTCGACGATATCATCACCGTCCTAGTCCGCCACGCCAAGGACGGCGACTACAGTCTTCCCCTCGCCTACTACCACAGTGTCCAGCCCGTGATCCAGTCCTCCTCGGCCTTGGAACTGCTCTTCACTGCCATCGCGCGAACGAGCGTCGTCGACGCCTTCCAGTTCACGCGATCCCACGCCGACTTCATGCGCCGTCCACTGTTTCACCGTCTCGTCATGTCCGTGCTAGAGTCTGCTCGTAGCGATCAGGGAGCCGACAAGGCACTTGAGTTGACGAGCCTGCCGTTCGACGCAGAGGAAGAGCAATGGTTCAAGGAGAGCCTAGAAAGTGCCGAGGCGAAGAGATCGGGAGTAGCCAAGGACACCCTCCTCATGCGCAGGATCGCCACGGGCAAGGCTGGATTCGGTAGCGAAAATAGCACCTGGGCTGTCATTCTCGAGGGCTTCAAGACCGGAAGCGGAGGTCGCCTGAAGGCTTGATCAAATTTGAACTGTCGAGTCTGGATTCAATTTTATGGGGGCGTGGTCGCATAGCATCGGCGTTGGGTTTGCGGAGGCATGGCATCAAGGGATACGACAAACCCAAGTTTGCCAAATAATAAGAATCATTATCATCTACAAATCCCGTCGATAGGGAGCTTCTTGTGCCACCAACGGCCTTTGCCAATATTATATTGTTACGAGATCATAAATCTTCACGTGCAAGTTGGCTACTACATTGCATTCATAGCACAATGGTCATCACATTTGTGCGAATTCACCCTAGCTGTACCGGTAAGATGTTAAGATGACATGCATAGATGATTTGCGCATAATAAAAAGGGTTAGGATTAAAACGTGAAAAAAGAAGGACGATAATAATAGGTAAAATCATCACAAAAAAAAGAAAGAAAAAAGCAAACTCCGAATCGGGGAATCGAACCCCGGGCTTGACGGTTCGGATGTTTTTAAACATGAGAGCGTCAAATGTTAGCCACTACACCAATTCGGATACGTCAATTTGTTTGGGATATCTTCTATCTGCTCCTATTATAATAGCTTACTTTAGTGAGTATCGTGATTGGCTAAGAGGTTTTGGGATGATTGCCTGATGGCTGTGCAAAAACTCCGGCCTACGGGATTTAGCTCAACCACCTCACAAATCCTATCCCTCTACCGGCCGACTCAATTGATATACATATGTATCTTTTATTAAAGATACCACGGGTTTACCTGTATTTCAACGCATAGATACATCAATTCAATTGCAGCCCATATAAATTAATGGCATATATCTTAAATCGGTGCCATCTGATACGTCCATCATAAATAGGTGAGGAGGGCACTAAAATCACCCTAGTTTGTTTGGATCCTTAGGGGATAATAACCCAGCATACATACGCTAGAAGACAAAGAAGAACAGGTATCGTATCAAGTTCAATCTGTAGTTCTGTAGGTGTATTGCTGGCTGAATCTTTTCTCGTAAAATCAATCAAAATACTCCCTTAGGTACCTCGACCCTCGTCATAACATCAACAACAACCAACCTCGAAACTCCTAGTGAAGCCACACATTTCTAACGAGTCTAACAACAAACTTGATACGTAAACCGGCACTGCTCGTACTTGGCAGCACACCTAGCTTCGGGACCGGTCACATATGTACCTTGTGTTGGAACTACTTGTCCTCTCAAGTAGGGAGTACGATGATATAAACTAATAGACAAAGTGTAGACCTCCCTTACCTAACCTAGGATACTATAAAGCAATCGGGAAGACGACCAACAATGACTAAAATCAAACTCTTCTACTATAATCTGCTCAAGTATTCTGTCAGATACTAAACACTACAAGCAGGCATAGTTCCGTAGGTTATATCTACCTATGTATTACACTATGGCTTCGGGCATAAAAGACGTCTCGCTCTCCACCCTTAGACTCTCTCTAAACAACCTCATTTACCTTGCTGCTGCTGTCTCCCTCCTACTTCTTATTTATTGGTGGGCACTGCCAAAGCCGATTCCTGGAATACCCTACGATGAAAGCGCTACGAGGACTCTCCTGGGAAGCCTCCCCGAGATCAATGCGCACATAAAGAAGACCGGCCGACTTCGGCCGTGGCTGTACGCTCATAATCAGCGACACAACTCGGCTATCACTCAGATCTGGACGAGCCCACTCTCAAAACCTAGTGTGCTCCTCGCCGATTTCCAAGAAACTCAGGATGTACTATTACGGCGTACCAAGGAGTTCGACCGAGAACACACAGGTTTGGACGTTTGGCGTAACCACATAAAAGAGCACCACATTGCAATGACTACCACCGATCCCCGGTTCAAAGGGAATAAGGAACTAGTCAAGGACCTAATGACTCCTACTTTCCTTCACGAGGTGAGAGTCCGCCCGGGCTGGTCTGCCGGTTCTTTCTATCTCGTCGTGCAAAGCTAAGTCGGTGCGTACAGGTCTCGGTACCACAGATCTATGCCAAGACGATGACCTTGATCGAGCTGTGGGTATCGAGGACCAAAGCTGCCGATGGTCGTCCGTTCAGCGCGACAGACGACATCTACGATGCAGCAGTCGACATCATCAACGCTGTCGCCTTTGGTCTAGATGATAGTATGAGTATTCTCAAAGCCCAGCTTGACAACCTCACCACCTTGAGCAATACAGAATTTCCAGTAAATGCAAATGGATCTGTAGAATTCCCCCGAGTGCCTTACAAATCCGAGATAGAAGCGGTCCGAATCGTGACCGAACATGTTGGCGAGCAGTTCAAGACCTTTTTTCCAGTTTTCAACCATTACTACGATCTGCTCACTCATCCCACGCTATCCAAGAGTATTGTACAAAAGAACAAGTTGATCCACGACGAGATCGAGAAGAGCTTGGTGCGTCTACGAAACGGCGAGGACGAGACTCGCTCTGCCATGGACCACATCCTCCAGCGTGAGATGCGCGCGGCAACCAAAGACGGGAGAAAGCCGGAGTTTCACTCTATGAAGATTTACGACGAAGTAAGTTCTATGATCTCGAATTTAGCAGTCTCAAAGTCGCGTGGCCGGTATCTGGCTTGCGTAAACTCGTTACTTTAGCTACCCACAAGCAACACTCGTTGATATTTCTGTTTATAGCTTTTCGGGTACGTCCTGGGAGGCCACGAGACCACTTACAGTGCTTTATGTTGTAAGTATCACCGCCCTCAAACTATAGCTAATTAGGCGAAGACAAGCTTAGTCGTAAATCTAAGCACATTTCGAGTCTCGATTTAGCTAATTCTTAATGCAACGCAGGGTTAATTAAGAATATTGCCGACTATCCAGCCGTTCAGGAGAAGCTAAGGTCAGCTCTTCAGTCGGCATTTGCCATGGCGTACGACGAAGATCGCCAACCGTCCGCCGTGGAAATCTGCAAATCAACAATCCCGTATCTGGACGCGGTGATCGAAGAAAACCTTCGTCTAGACACACCTGCGCCGGTGATCGCTAAAGAAGCCACAGTCGACACTATTCTTCTCGGTAAGAAAATCCCTAAGGGAACCGTCGTCTTCATGATTTCAGGTGGGCCCGACTTCCGGAGCCCTCCGTTGCCTGTCCCGGACGAGGTTCGCAGCGAAACCTCGCGCCTCAAAAACTTGCACGCACGGTGGGATCCCAACGATATTCACATGTTCAAGCCCGAACGGTGGCTTAAGGTGGACGACGACGGCAGGGAGGTGTACGAAGCCACTGCCGGTCCCTTTCTCTCGTTCAGCGGAGGCCCGAGGGGGTGTTTCGGTAAACGGCTCGCGTACCTCGAGATGCGTATTGTTACCGTGTTGCTCCTATGGAACTTCAAATTCCATAAACTGTCCGACGAGCTCAGCTCGCACGATGTCGTCGACAAACTCACGCCAATCCCCACGTCCTGCTACGTCGCCCTTTCAAAGGCAGATTCGAGGTTATGAGCGTGAGAGTTAGGATTTGTGTTGTTTGGAGTATCTGAATACCTAGGTAGTAAAGATGGTCGGTGACACGATTCGGCAGAGGAAATGTGCTCGCAGTGATTTTGAACCCATCAAATAGGTACCTAGTCAAAGGAACGAACCTCTTTTTCTTCCTTGCCAAAGCTTCGTCTAGTTATGCCGGGTCTTCGATCGGCTACATCTAGGGTTATTACTATGCACGACTCGTATACCATGTATGGCCAGGTGCCTATCAATGAAAATAGTATGAAAATACCATGTGCTGGGGCTTACCTAATAGCTTACGTCCATATTGCATCCGTTATCGTTAACATTTATGAAAATATACAGCAGGCTTAGCCAATGGGATAGCAGGCAAGCATGTTTCAGCCCGTGGTTGAGGCAACCATAACATGGGGACAGAACACTGCCCCAAAGCAATCCTTCCAAGCCTCACGGGGAAGTAGGCAACTTACTTCAAGGTATCTAAGCACCAATCTCAATTGCTCGCCGTAGAATTCAAAAAATGATTTACAAAATTACGGTAGTATAGATATCTGACTCTACCGAAACTTAGCGTATCTCCCGAGCCCATTTCTTCACAAAGCGCTCTGGTAAATATGGCCGATCCTCTATCTATGGTTGCTAGCGTTGCAGGGGTGGTCGCCCTCGCAGCATCGACGGCGAGGACCCTTATTTCATTGATACAAGATATGGCCGATGCCCCCGAAGAAATATTGCACATTCGTCGCGACGTGCAGAGCCTGTCCGCGGTGCTGGGGTCCGTCCAGGACATCTCCGTGAGATATGATTTAAAATCAGAGGAACTTGCGCTGGTGAGCAGTTTGACGGAGTACCTCAGCTTATGCCAAGATAGCATGCAATCAATCCGAGTACTTCTAGCGCCCCTGGCCGAGAAAGGGGGTGGAAGGAAGAGCCCGCTAAGGATGATAGGGTGGGTGATGCGGAAGAGCGAAATCAAAGCGCTGCGAGAAAGGCTACAGGAGAGCAAAGCAAGTTTGAACATCACTATATCAGCACTCAACGGGTTCGTATGCTTTTCTCGATAGAAAAGATATTTCATTTTGACGAAGAATTGGAGGACTAACTCGAGCCACAGGGTTCTCGAGGGTAAAGGTCAGGATGAGATCAGGAAAGACGTCAACAAGATCTACGAGAAACTCGTCATCGAGTTTCGCAATCGGAATACCGGAAGGAGGGTCCGAAGACGGATGGAGGACGACGTTGCGAGTGTGTCGGCTCGTGGAGGGCGGCGCCAATCTATATCCGAGTCGACGGATGTTGCGTTTACCTTGGAAAGATACTTCGATGAGCTACCAGAAACCCCCCTTCGACGCCAGGGATCAAACCTGCAGGAACCTGACGAGAGTGAAATCCTACCCCATCCCTTTTCCGCTGAGCCGACTGCCTTGCTTGACGTAGTAAGAGCTAGAGACAAGGACGGGGTTGTCCGTCTCATCTCACGTGGTTGTTCGATAGCTGAGAGAACGCAGAATGGGCAAACAGCGCTTCACTTCTGCGCTATCTATAACGACTCGGAGATGGCGCAAATCCTGCTCGAACACGGTGCCGACATCAATGCGAGAGACAATCAGCTTCGCTCGCCTCTGAACGTTGCTCTCTCGTCTGAAGCGATGAGCGTGGCTATACTCCTAGTCCAAAGAGGCTGCTCTCTTACCGGTTGCGCTGATATGATTTTCCCCTTAACTCAAAGGATAGAAGAAATATCCGGTATTGGCATATTACTCAAAGATCTAGCTCCAAAACTCAACAAGTCAACCAAAGGTCCATATATTGTTCATCAAGCTGTCGAGTCGAACGACCTGCAGAGTCTAGACCTTCTCCTTTCTGCAGGGTTTGACCCAAATCAAAGAAACACATATGGTAGAATTTCCCACCTTGCTCAAGTTGAATCGAACTTAGGACTGATTGGTACGGACTAGGACTTCCTCCTCTATATGAGGCGATGTTACAGAATCAAAAACAAGCTGTGCGGTTACTCTTAAACTACGGTGCCAACAAGGACGAATACCTGCCACTAGAGACGCG